GCTTCAAAAATGGCTTCTCACTTTGGATGTGTGTTTGGACTCAAAACTGACTTGAATTTGGAATTTGAACTTCGGAAAACCCACAGATCTACTTGTAGAAACGTATTCATATTCATGAAGCTGCTACCGCCGTGCATCTCTTCAGGTATGGTGTTGTTTTGATGATGCACAGTAATGTTTTTATGCCAAGTAGACGTTTAGGAATCACTCTGTAAATGTTCAATTTTGGTTCCAGCCAAAGGATACTAATCAGCTACTTTTATGAAAATCCTTCAAGACCAGATACTTTTTTTTTGTTTTCAGCGTAGTCAGATTTACGATGGCTCAAGAAGAGTAAATGCTAAAGCTAAATCTAACCTAAAGGCACTTACTTCAAAAAATATTATTTAAGGTCATATAACCAGATTGTTTTACCTTTTTAAATTTTTTGTATTTTTCTCTGATTTCAGTTGAATTTTACGTTTTACAGTGCACAAGATCGCATTAAAGTGTGAACATACATTAAACTAAGCTTCTTCTTTTTTTGCACCACAAAACTCTGAATTCTTTTGCACACATTTTTAGGACCACTGTAGTAGAGTGTTTAGGTTAAGATGGATAAGATTACCTCATCTCAATCTGTCAACATCAGGTTAGATGTTTTATTTAACGTAGCGCGCAACATATGGAAAGAATAGCCTCAATCAAGATACTTTCAGATGAGTTTAACATATGTCAGATTGAAATTCAGAGCAGGAGAAGAAAATGTATGCTCAAGCAGGGCCCCTGTCATCAGAGTTTTTTGTCTGATCAATTGCTCCTCTGCCGTGGTATTGTTGTAGCACCGCTGGTTGGAGAAACCAGAGAACAGAGAGACATGAGTGGGGCGGAGGGCATCCTCAGTCCTCCAGACTAAGCATGCCAAAGTTAACAATACGCAGCACGCAGTGCAGGAAAAAAATGTGGAAACACTAAGTGAGAGGTGAGACAGCATGCGCTTTGTTATGTTGAGCTTGGAGACCTCAGGGAGCAGAGAGCGGTGAGGAAAACGACAGCGTAAGCAGTCAGGCCACGGTTTTCCTCGAACAGATGATGATCAGTGAACACAAACTAAGCATGGACTTTTTACAGAGATTCATGGTAGCTGCTAAGCAGCTCTTAATTATTCCTTCATAGCAAAGTTAAAATGCTAAGACATGAATACACTTTGAATTTTTCCCACTTCACTACAACTAAGGTCAACACGATCCTTGCTGTATCATTATGCGCTGGAAAGAAAACTAATTTGTATTTTCTCTTTTGCAAGTAAAATGCATGTGGTTCACATTTGTATTCAGCCCACTGAGTCAATGTTTCGTCAAATCACAGGTTTAACTTTCATTTTCAATTAAAGTCTCTTCTGGACTTTGACTTGTTGGCCTGTCGGAGGAGAACCTCCTTTTGGTCTGTCCATCTTCTCATCAACTGTGAGAAGGTTTCCTGTCAAAGTTGGTGGAGGGGCAGGGGGAAGCAGCCGCACAGCATGATGCATCCACTACCGTGTTTCACAACGGGTTGATGTGTTCAGGGTTAGCGAACGTCTTCAAATCCCCAGACATGTCCACTTTTCATCGGATTTTCTTTGATTATTGAAAATGTCCAGGTTCAAAAATAACTAAGGACTCATTGATCACTATTGCTAAACAATATTAATGCTGTTTTTATGGCAGTACTTACCTGTATCATAAAAGTTAAAGTTATTACACCACCTACATTGCTTCTTAGCATCAGTTAAAAACCTCACCATCACCATCGCATGACCAAACAGTACCACATATCCAACTCCATCTCCTTTGTGAAGCCCGTACACAAACTTCAACAACATGCAAATGAACATTGGCTGTTCATATCAGCCCAGTTTTACTTATCAGACCAATGTAAAAAAAAAAAAAAAAAAGACCAACATCGCCTCATACCGATATCGGTACGATATATCAAGCTTCCTTGATTTCTTTTTTTTTTCCATTTAAATATTCTTTCTAACCACATAGAGAAGTCATACTTTCAATATGTTCATATCAAAAGCAAAAAAGTATTTTGAAGTAAACAGAGATGGTTTTCAGGACTGGGCCTCGTTTTTTTTTTTTTTTTGAAAATTAAAAATGGCCGCCATAACATGGCAAGCCAAAAGCGTTAAATGTTGGTCTCAAACGAGCAGAGCACCATCTTCTACGTGTTTGCTGCGTCACCTCATGGCTTGTGGTAAACTTAAAACAAGTCTAGTCATGTTTATTTGTGTAGCGCCTCTCAGCAACAAGGCTGGACAAAGTCCTTCTAATGGCTTTCTTCCAAGTCGACAGTCAAATAATCCAAATAAAAGATATTTAAAGTTGATTTGTGCAACGTGCCAAAATTTAAAAAAGCTTAAAATGTAGGAATACCTTTTCAAGAAACATAATTGTTTGGGTAATTGTTGTTGTTTTCCACTACTGTTCATCTTTTGCGTAGACGCAGGACAGTACATGCTGTGTTGCTATCATCAGTGGAGAAAATCGCTGTTTCCAACTGTGTCTGTGTGTTTTCTCTGGCCTCATTTAAAACAAATCATTACCCCAGTTAAAAGCTTTAGTTCTGAGCCATTTACTGTCTAAGTATTTAACTAGGTGTGAAATTGACTGTGGCTCATCTTGTTTTTAAAAAAAGTTGCAGATAAAAAAAAAAAAAAAAACATTTAGGGTTTTTAGAACTAGATGAACGCTGTCAAAGTGTTGCCTTGGATTTCTTTTTTTTTTTTGGGGGGGGGGAAGTTTCAGGCTCTGAGCAGTGTGGCAAAATAATTTTTTACATCCTAAACGTCTTGCGAACTGGCCCACATCTAACGTCTTGGCAGGCTCCTGCTGCCCTCCTAAACCTCACATATATTCTTGCTCGGTGACTGAGGCTGATATTTAGCTGAGGCCAGTGGATTTGGTCATCTCTTCTAATGGCCGTAACGTTGAATAAGAGCCATGTATGAGGGTTGCAGTGGCATGACTTGCGTCGCAACTCGGTTCTGGCGTCGCTGCTCCCCAAATTAATTCCCTCCATCTTATTTGCGCATCTCGCCATCCAGGCAAACAGCTGCTAAACGGCCTGATTTACCAAGCATGCATTATGAGACCTTTGGGCTATTATCTATAAATGCCAGTGTGCGGCGACAGGTCTGGGTGCCCATAATGAAGGAGTTGCGGTGACAGCTCTCCGTCTCACTCAGCCCTGTGGTTAAATCGCAGTTCTGCAGCCTCCACTTGGTAATTGGCCCAGATGGGACATTTCAGCACTCTCTCTCTCTCTCTCTCCGCCACACCTCAGCTCACCTCCCAAGCTCCACCGCTTTTTCCATCCCATACGGCGGACATTTGGAAGGGATTAAAGCCCGGTCATAACTCTCGCCTGGGTCTCGAGCTCGTGTTAGATGTGTCGTGACACATCTAAGCGTTAATCGCCTGCGTGGAATCCTCCGGTACCACCACAAGAGAAATGCTGGCTTCTTGTGTAAAAAAATAAAAAAATAAAAATAAAAGTGCCCTTTAGATTCATTCCCCTTACAACAGCGTGGTCCCGCTGTGATAAATTGTGGGAAAAAGCATTGTTTGAACTGCGAACACGTTTTGCCTATGAACTTTACGAGTGGAGGTCTTTTCTTGTTTCTCCGTTGTACGAGATGTCACAATGGAATACAGATGTGGGCATTTCTGCCAGCTAATAGCAGGTGAAAACCAACACTGATGCGTACGTTTGTTTTACATTTGATAACGCCTTTCCATAAAGTTTACAAGTTTTATTAGTTTTTGGTCAACCACAGCATGAAATCCACCCCCTAAGCATAGGTTGGGAGAGGAGGGGGGAGCATTTCAGCTTGATAGTGTGTGAAATCCTTGTTTTTTTTTTGTTTTTTTTTGTTGTTTTTTTCCCACGCATAGCATCACGGTGAACTGGATTTTGCTGCATTGTGAAATGTAAAAATGCATTCACTTAGATTTGCTCACACGCCCGAATGCAGTGTAAAATAAAGGCTCCTAGGTTGGAATAGCATGTTTCGAGACGTTCACAGAGGCATCCCTGAGCATGCAACAAAAGAAGCACTGCTGCAAATAGTAGCGCAGTTTGTTGTGAAGAGGAGGGGTGGGGGGAGAAAAAAAAAGGAAAATGAGCTTCAATTAAACACTGACTTGTGTGCTGTGCATCATAATGATTCCCATAAAAAGCTGAGGGCGAGATGCATTCCTGCTGTGACTTCTGAGCGTGAGGCGTATGTGTAGTGAAACCGCAGAGTCCGCACCAGAGCCGAAGGCACCAAGTCTCCTCCTCCCTGCTCCGTTTTCCCACCAACCGCCCATAATTACACTTATTGGCCCCTTGTTTTATGTCTGCTTTAACTGTACACTGCAGCAGTAATGCGATGCGTAGCAGAGGGCCTCGCTTCTGGATGTCTGGACGACGTTGTTGGAAGCGTGGGGGGGGGGGGGGGCGCAACATAAGTGGCTCTGTCTCCATCCAGTTCAATGCATTACCTGGAGAAATGTACATTTTGAATGGTTACAGTACATCTATCAAGCCTCTAACCTCCTTTACTGTGGATTTTTCTATTATAGTGTTAGATTTCACCTCTCGTGTCACGATTGCGAAGCTGCTGCGCTCTGACATTTTAAACACTGAAATGATTTCCAGCTCTGAAGCCTCTTTAAATGCTGTATCAGAAGGTCTGTGGGAAGGTAAATGCTGCTTTCATTGTTTAAAACAGCAAACAGCCTTCCTTCTAATTGGATTTCCTTGCAGTTTTCGCCACAAAAATGCGGCCGTTTTATAATTTTATTCGGCATTGTTCAGCAAATTAGCTTTTTTCGAAATCACTTTTAGAGCCATTTCGCTGATGCAAACATTCCCCTGTTTTAACTTTACAGAAAGTGATGCATAAAATAAAATCTTACGTCTGGGTTTCTGTCTCATCTCTTGATATATTCTTTTGTATTTTTATTTATTTATTTTTTTACCTTAGGGTGATGCAGGCTCCTCTGCAGCAGGCATCAAGGTAAGTCCTGAAAAAAATATTTTTATGTTTTGTTTTGTTTGAAAAATGTGAAAATGTGCTGCCAGTCTGGGAAGAAGCACATGCGCCTCCAAAATGCACATAAACATGTTGCTGGGAGACAAAAAAAAAAAAAAATAGGAAGTCATTAGTTCTTCTGGCTGGAATTCAAAGGTGCAATATATTTGTCAGGAAATATGTGAGACCAGTGGCGGTACTATAACAAGTACAAACAGTCTACTAGCACCATCATGTTTGCCTTGCGACTAAAATGAGAAGATTTTCCTAACTTTTCTCATTCCAACAATGTTTGGTGAGTCAAAGAGACCCTGGAGAAATTTATGTAAAATTTGAAACTACATGTGAAGAGCAATGTGCTGCAGTGAAATTGCTCAAACTAAGCTGTTCTTGGCATTATATCTTAGTCAATAAACAAGCTACTTAGTCAAGTATCTTCCTTTATTGTGACAAAAGCTAAAAGTTAATTTAAAATATTGAAACGGTGAATGCTTCGATCAACTAAGGTGACTGTTTAACATATTAAGAAATGGCTTCCAATCCCTAATTTATTCTGCAGAGACATGAAAGGCACACATGTAAAGACAAAATGAAACCACTTTGAAACAGGCTTTCTACATGTTTAGCAAAGTTTTTGTCTGAAATTTTTGACTGCCTTTCGCTCATTTTCAGTTCAGATATTCCTTTTAAAGAACCTGAATATTCTTTAAATTTTAGTGTGAAAAGGATACAAACTTCACTGTCATTCTTACGGCAATTCTAACAAGACGTTGACAGATCGCTGCCCTGGATGAAAAGCCTCATAGCCCACATTAAAGACATTGATTCATCTCTTGGGCTTTAATAGACTTTTATGTCTGCATGACTCATAGTTTGGTGTGTTAGTTGAAAGGTTGTCGGTTCTCTTCACGTTTCTCTTGGACAAAACGCTGAGCCTCAAGAGGCCCTGATCTGTGGATCTGCGAGTGATTGTTTATATGAACATGGTCTTTTGTCTAAATCCACTGTAATTGGTCAGAAACACTAGGAAAGTTCTGGATAAAAAGCCGTGCAGCTCTGGTTCAGATGGTCTGTAAATGAAGCAGCTGAGAAGAACACGGTGTTATGTCTTGCAGGGCGAACCGGGAGAACCTGGACGGAGCGGACAGAAGGTAATCACTATTATTTCTTTTGAGTTAAATATTTTCACGAATGAACAGAAACGTGCAACGGACAAGTTCTGTCTGTGCATACTGATAATGTCTGTTCACAGTGTCAATGCCCATACCTAGACGTACTCAATAGAAGGGGAAGCTTTTATTCCAAGATATTTCAATTAAAGGTTGGTTATCGCAAAGCCTAGTGGAGTCTGTTGTGCAAAATATGTTTTCTACATTAGAAAGGCTCGGTTAAATCTGACACCTAAAGCTTATTGACTATTGTAGAGCTGTGGTTCAGTTTTTCAGGCATCACAACCTCTCAGAACACCATACTAACATTTGTGGGTATGTTTCCCCTTTTTGTTTAGGATTTTTTTAGGCTTGTCTAACTTTACCAGACTCTCGCATTAAATAGCTTTGCTTCGGTGCAACTCAAAAGCATTGGCAACTTGTCTACATGTTTATTGCCTTCAGAGGCAACAAACTAAGGTGCTTTGCAAAACTTTGGCTAATCGCATCACCCCAAGCCTTAACGTATTTTATTGTCGTTTTATTTGCACCCTTAAACTTTTCCACGATATGTGGTGGGGGAAAAATGGTATTTTGGTTTTATAGACCAGCACAAAGTTTTGCTTGACTGTGATGTCGAAGGTACAGAAATCCAGGGCAACCAATTACCTGGAGGTTTGCACATCTTTAGTGGCCATTGGTTGAGAAGTGGGCTTTGCCCTGTACAGGTGACCGGCCCATTAAAGGGTAACATAGAGACAAACAACCATGCACATACACTGAATGCTAAGGGCACAGGAGTAATTATCATGCCTGTTTTTGTGGAAGCTGGAGTACCCAGAAAGAGCCCCTTATGTGCAGAAAGAATGTGTTTACTACATTTTAATCCCATGCCAGGATTTAAGTCTGGGAACTTCTTCCTGCAAGACAACTGAAACAACTACCCCACTGTGCAGTAATTCAATACCAGTATGAACACAACTGTAAAAGCCTCAAACGTTAGAGAACATTAGTGAACGCTCAACGCTCCTTGGAGAAGTAATAATCAAAGGCATATCCCACACTCCGAAGATCTCATGGAGCATTGTTCGTTGCATTACCTGAAAATGGAACAAGTGCGGTTCTGTAAATCTACCAAGACGTGGTCATCCATCTAAACTCCAAAGATCCATAGCCGAGACGGGAGAATCTGTTACCAGATTACTTCACAAATCTGGCCTTTATTAAAAAAAAGCAGCAAGAAGAATACCATAAGGAATCTTTCTGATGTTTGCCCAAGACCAGGTCAGTGGTTCCCAACCCTGGCCCTGCAGGTTTTATCCGGGTCTCTATTCAAGCAAGTCCAGTTTGTGTTTGCATTGAGCAGAGTGCCAGTGCAGACTGCTCATGCTTTTCCTCAGCATGTAAGCTGGTCCGAACTGATGGCTAAGGCAGATGGAGCTACTTGCAGGGCAATCCTTGAGGAACACCTCAAAAGAATTGAAACTGGGGTGGAAGTTCACCTTCCAGAAGGACAACAACCCTAAACACACAACCAGAGCTAAAACGGAGAATAATGTGTTGCGATATGAAGACTAACGTTCAGATGCTACTTGTCCGGTCTGACTGAGCTAGAGCTCATTGTCAGATAATGGGCCAAAAATATCAATCTGTACATGTGAAAAGCTGGAAGAGGAGAAAGTCACTCTCACAGGCGATAAATACAAATATATTCCACACAATGTTTCTGTTTACTTAAGAGTGCTGCACTACTTTGAAGTGGAGCATTCAAAGTAGTGGAAAGTGCTCCACTACTTTGTGTTGGTCTATCACATAAAATCCCAATTAAGTGCATCCAAGTTTGCGGTTGTAATGTGGCAAAATCGTTGAATGGGTTTAGTTGAAGGGCAAAGCACTGTATGAATATCTCTGCTAGGCATTGTAAGTCATTGTGATGAAAACTATTGCAAAGCAGAAAGACCTGACTGCAACTGCAATTCTGTCACTTTTTAAATCCTGTGTGTTGCATTTGTTATATTTTTTTCCCCCTTTATTTTCTCCCTTTTTCTCGCAAACCGGTTTGATTTTCGATGCTGCGGACGAGACGCAAACCGTCTCACTTTCTCGAATATTTCATACTCAACCTGTTTCTGCAGAAACATAAAAAAAAAAAAAAAAAAAAAAAAAAAAAAAAAAAAAAAAAAAACCTATCTCCAATCGTCTTTAGAAATCCAGGGCTAAAGATATTTCCCATTGGATGATTTTTGCCAAATAACTGCTGGTAAAGTGTTTGTCCACAAGAAAGATTTTTATTCATTAATTTACAGTCCCTTTCATAAGCCACAAAGTAACTTTACAGCCTTCTCTCTGATCCCGCAAGTGTCGTTAAAGTTGATCATTCTCGTGCAGCACTAATCATTTCTTTTTCAGAAGCCATAAATACAAGGGGCCTAATTGAGCATTAAATTATCCCCAGTCCAAATTTTAATCTTTGAAGTCTCACAGATGCCTCAGAAAGGACATGACCTCTGAATTTTTTTATTTTTTTTATTTTTTTTTTTATTACCTAAAGTTGGATCTCATACTGGGTCCACTGCTGAAAACTTCTGGAGTTTTTGACTTTTTTCTTTTTTTTTTGCAACAGAAAAGTTGGGTAAAATGGGAGCTTCCCACGCTGCCAGACTCTAATGATCCACAAGTCACTGCAGCTCTCCCAAACAGCTTCTGCAACCGTAACCCAACGTGTCTGACAGTTTTTCCTTTTTAGAAACCGGGTCTTTTCACACCTGTCCGAACCAATAAAATCTTCAAACTGAAACTCTGCTGCTCCTTGTGAAGGGTTGAGTGTTTATAACAAGCACTAATCAGACTGTCAAGCTACAGCTGCATGAGCTAGTATTTAAAAAAACAAAACAAACACACACACAAAAAAAGATGCATGTGCCTTCTGTTCTGCTAACGCTCCCATCCCCATTCAAGCAAATGACAGTCAACTCAAGCCAGGAGACTGCTTTCCAGAGCTGCGGCAACTCGATAGCCAGCGAAAACAAAAACAGGAAATAACGTGTAGAGCTAATAATAATAATAATAATAATAAAAAAACCCAACGAGCCTACAAATGAGGCTTGACTCAGCTTAGCTTGGCTTGGCTGTAACATGTCGCACTCTTCCTGTGTAGGGAGAGCCAGGACTTCCAGGGCTGCCTGGACTCCCAGGGATAAAGGTAATTGCTTCGCTGTTTTCATCCCCCCTCTGAGTCATGTCCACCCGGTGTTGTCCGTGTCCATCCGCTTCTGCCCCACCTGAGAGAGCTCAGAGCAACTCGGCTCACCCATTGTCATGGCGCTGAGGTCTGACAATCTTTCTTTTTTTTTTTTTTTTTTTTTTTTTCCCCTCCATCCGCTGAGGGATTTGCACGCAGATGTGAGCGCTCCCATCTGCAGGAGCTGCTGCCGGAGCCACCTTCACAAGTGCAGTGAAAACTTTGGATTTTTAGGGCTAAATTTGTGCGGGGTAATTGTGTCATTCCGAATTTGTGAATAGCATCCGTTTTGAAAGCCTTAGCCCACTTCCTGAAAATGTCTGGAGAGTCTGGAAATTCTGCTGTCGGGGAGTTTGTTCAGATGCTTTCAATTTGAGCTCCGAGGACGAGGTTTTACGCAGTTAGCAGCTTACCTAGAGCGGGTGACTCTCTGAATGTCTTCAGCAGGGGTGAAAATTTAGTCATTAAAAAAGTTTCACAAACCGGATGGTTGTTTCAGACAAACTTTTGTGTCATGTTATAGTTTCTAAAAAATGTTGGGGTTTCCCCCCCCCCACCCCCAAATACGTATATGATTATTTAATTATATTTATGTAAAAACGCATAAAATGATGATGGCTTGAGTGTGCTGTCCTACAGTTCACACTCATGTACTTCACCGTGACACATCTGCTTGTTTTCTAGGTAACTGAGTATTTTCCAAAGCAAAACACAAGGCTAAATTACCTTCTGCTGAGAGACATTTATTGAAGTGACATTTTCTTACAGCATACGTTATCGGCTTCAGGAAGTTGTATTGAAATTGTTGGTCGTCTGGTACAAAGACGGGCAGAAAACTGTAAGAGTATGCCGTGGCGAATGATGAGCCAAAAGTACGAACAAGACATCGACTGGCCTCATTAGAAATCAGCCACTAAAATAACTCTGGTGAGTCACTTTCCTGTTCTTTTCCATTCCTCCGTCAAACTGTAAGCTCACCGGCTCTTGAGAAAGTCTGTTGGTTTCTGTTCACCGATTTACATCGACAGCGTCTTGCTGCCAGCTACACCTGGCTGCTCGGGTGGAGCAGCCAGGCTGTCGAAACCGAACATTGTTCTCTGGCAATAAAGGAAAACTGCTTTGTTTCCTACTTCAGTTTCTCACTCCTTTTCAAGAAGACTTTGAAAAGGCTTAATGCGATGGCGTGCCACGAGATCTCGTTACACTCCTCGTCATCAGTGTAAATGTCCATGTAAGGCAAATGTTGCAGCACTTTAAAGGTCTATAAAATAGAGGGTTCTCGTTCACAGCTGTGAAATATTTGAGATTTGAATAATTTGAAATTGTTTCCAGATCCTAGAAATCCACTTCGGTTTTGACCGCTCAGCCCCGCCCCTCTCCATCCAGCTTCCTCCTTTGAGGAACACTGCTTAATTAAATTTTAGACCTTCAGCAAGTTATCTGGATTTTGAGACCTCAGGTTCTCATAAACTGTCCACAGAACCCCAGTTTACTCCAGGTCGTTTAAGGGAGGAAGTTTAATTAGTCACATCTTTAGGATTTTTTTTTTATTATTATTTTTTTCTGGTTTGGAAAGCAATAGTACAGAAGCTAAACATGCAACCAGCACTTAATAACCTTCTCATGTTAGTGTAGTCACATTAACGTATCTCAGGACCACTGGCTTGAAAAAATAACGTGTTTGAGCTGCGAGTGCTGACACAGGCATGCCGCTGATGCTTGTTCCTGTTTTCCGGTTTGTGTTTTTCTCTCTCTCTCTCCCTTTTCTTTATGTGCCTGCAACGTGTTTGCCTTGTTTTTAAAAAAAAAAAAACAAACAAAAAAAACTTTCATTTTACATTTCATACACTCCTGTTTTTACTTAGCAGGCCTGCATGTTTGATGTGATTCTTAAAACGTTCTGCTAACGTGGCACTTTAACAGGTACAGAGCTCGCCTTGCACCTTTATTCTTCCTCTGCATACTTTGCTGTTTGGTTTAACACTTAGAGAACTACATGCCCATCACTTCATGGAGGGCCTTCCTGAGCACATGAAGCGCTCTAGAAGGGACTTTGGTTGCTGCTTTACGACCAAATGCGGTACAAACCCAGTGCAGCATCATACTTCATACTGGAAGCTGGGTAAAAACGTGAAGTGCCGTTTATTTTTTATGGTTTTTTTTGCACACTCTACCTCATTTCTTAGGGTCTTGATGAGTTTCTGCTAAGGCCCATCGTATCATATGTTCAGGCTCATGAGAAAGAAAAATGTTAGTATATGTGAAACTAAAGGAGCAATTAACAAATTGCCTGTCGTTGTGATTAATGCATGCGATCCTCGGTCTGCTTGTGTGCACGTGGGAGTGTGCGAGCAGCAGTAAGTGCATGCCTGTCCTTACGAATGTATTCGGTCACTCGTCTTGCGTGTGCCGTTTAGCGCTCCTTAGAAACGCCCAGTGGAAAAGTGAGTAATCGCAGTTTTTTTTTTGTGTGTGTGTGTGTGTTGTTTTTTTTTGTTTTTTTTCTTTCGGGTGTTTTTCAGGGTGAGCCAGGATTCCTCGGCCCCCAGGGAGAACCAGGACTTCCAGGACTCCCAGGAACTAAAGTGAGTGACGTCAGTTTTCCTGACCGATCCTCTTTCGTGTCGCGACGGTGATCGACGACGAATCGGATGTGACGTTTTTTTTTTGTTTTTTTTTGACAGATTTTTAATAACCCTGTGCTAACAGAGCAGCGGATAGCGTGTTGTCATGTCACCGACACTATTAAAACTCTGTCTCCACTAAATGTCAGAGTGAGCTAATCCTCTGCTGCTTCCTTTGAGTCATGACATTATCCTACTGTGGGGCCAGAGGTGATGATCCAAACATCAGGCAGCTTGCAGTGCTTTGATAATCAGAATGTATTCTCTTTGCATCGCACTCTACTGCGTTGAGCAACATTTTGTTACTTCTACGGGGAACTAAAGGTAGATCTGTTCTGGGACCCTCATAACTCGGTTTTTATTACAATTAAATTACATATAAATAAGGGCTTTGCGAGTTCTGTTCTGTAGCTGCCGATTTTACTCTCTTGGAAGATGGTCCGGTGCAGAGAGGTTTCCCCTTTTTCGCCAACAACAACTGTGCCACGAGGTTTTTACTTTATTCTGTGTGCTGGACAGCTAGTGCAATGTGTCAGCGGGACCAAAAAAAAAAAACTTTGCAGGACTTATTTATCCTCATCTACTTAAACTTGGGTCGGTACCTCATTTTTAAGGGTGCAACTGTTTTTTTCCAAAAATATCTACTGATGTAAAAATCATGAGTCATCCTGTAGTTTCCTTTAGCTTGATCCTTCATTCTAACAATTTACGCAGGTTTGGTAAAGTTGTAGAAAGTTTCAGCTCCACAGCTGCCTTTTTCGCTGCAGAAAAAAAAACATTATTATTTACAAGGCTTTAACTCCATATGCGAGGATACAGTTTTTTTTTTTGTTTTGTTTTCTGTGTGATCGTTTTGTTTTGGAGGGGATATGCTCCCAACTTCAGAGGACGCACATTACGCGGTGCGCTTGGGAACAAAATGGATAGCAAATGGATTTGACCTGCAGTGACGGGTACATGCCGCTGTAGCTGGCATCACTTTCACATCCACCACCAATGGGGGGGTTGTGCTGCTGAACCTGCGTCGTGACGCTGCATATCTGCGACAGGAGTCACCGTTTCTACGTAGTCGTTTTGTTTTGTCCAGCGTCGAGAACGTCCTTAGCAGTGAGGTTATTTTGCAGCTGCCATAATGATCAGTTTCTCTTGAAGTCGCATGGCTCGTAAAGGAGAGCTACCAGACCAAATTTGGTTTCCAGAAAAAAACTCACAAAAGTATGAAACACAATATAAACATTTGGGACATAGTGAGTGGGGGGTGGGGGGAGAATAAGCTGCGGTTTTACCGCTTCTGGTGATGGCTAAGTTGATTATTGAGGTCGCTGGTCAAGGACGATGCCTGGTTTTTAACAGACCCGATAAGTGATGATTACCAGGTGATGTCGATGGCTGTATGATGGATGCAGGGCTGGCGGTGGTTGATTCTTGAAGATGTTTCACTTTTCCTTTAAATAATGTTGTTTAGTTAGTTCTAAGCTGAATTCTGAGGAACCTCTGAAGAGTTGAAGCCTTTTGGATGAGACATAAAATACCCTAAAAAAGTGGCTCAGCAGCACAAGTAAGATAATGCCTTCAAATTGTTTATTTGGAAAATTAGCTACTAGCAGTCTGTGTGATTAATGCATGCAAAGGCAGAATTTTGTATTTCTGAGGTTAAATTTATTGAGAATCCTAAAGATAAAATGAACAGAGTATAGTACTTTTCCACTATTGTGGTTTAAATGGAGCTGTTAGCTGGAGCAAGATCAACTGGAGGATCATGTATCCTGCATCATGTCTTTACTGGATTTTTTTTTTTTTCCTGTGGCTGAGAAACATAAATTCCAGACATTCACTTGACTGTAGATGCCCTTTTTAAGCAACTTGTAGTTTGTCCTGCTTTTATTTTTTCCACAAACGAGACAATATGCCCTCAAGGTCAAATATGTATGCAGGAATTGAACTAAATAATAGTAAAAAGCCAAAACAGCCACAATTCAAAGAGTATTAAAAGACCTTCGGAAAGTCTGGAGACCTATTCGTCAAGACCATTTTAAAAGATTTCAGGAAAGACTTGGCTGCTTGGAAGGAAAGTGTAAAAAAAATTAAAAGTTTGTGTGGTTGTAAATGTGCGTACAAACAAAACAACTTATTACTGCTGCATGACGATCCTCGAAGGCCAGGACTCTCCATGTTTCTGGTGTTTCCCTGACTCAACGAAACTAAATCAAGTGAACAGTTCCTGAGCACGCCACTGCTGACCTAGAAGACTTAGGTCAGCAGCAATTTATCCGTTTGAAGATGAAGTAATTTATCCGTTTGATTCAACTGTGTCCCATGAGGACTGTTGGACTCCCCTCTTCTAAAGCCGTCCTCCCACCTATAAAAACACCCATGTGTTTTGTTCAGTCGCTCTTTGTCATTCTCCCAGTGAGCGTCTTCTGAGCAGCGTGTGTTTTTTGGCCTTAACAGGGCGAGAAAGGTGACCACGGACCAGCAGGAAAGGGTGATCGAGGAGAAATCGGACCTGCTGGGCCAAAGGTGAGGACATGAAGCACACGCCGACCCACGGCAGGATGAACGAGGCTCATATCTGTGACTGTGCTGCCATCTAGAGTATTCCTTCTGAAAACAGCATTTATCCTGTTTCAGATCCTGAAAAGTAGAACTTATAATTTATTAACATACTAAGAAATCCACTTTTTTTTGTTTTTTTTTTCCAAAGAAGAAAGCTGTTTTAACGATCATTACCATGATGTTCTAGGATCTCCAAGGTGTTGGGAGTTACGTAAACCGACTCCAAATGAGTTCACCGCTTTGTTTGTGTCTGCCAGGGACCCTGCTGGTAGCGTAAGCTGCAGTCTAAACTTAGAGGACTCGGATGACTCTTGCACATATCCTGTTAGAAGCCCCAAGTTAGACCCAGGATTAGTTAGGGAGAGTGTTCAAATAAACACGTCCTCTGTTGCTCAACAGTGGCATCAGATTAAGAGATGTTTGTTTTTAAGCTTTGTTTTTAACCCAGGTGTTGGTTCCCCAAGAGGAGTCTGGGAGGTTGATGATATTTCCACACCGAAATGTGCATCAGATGTCCGCTCCAAGTCATTTAATACCTGAGACGTGTAGTTTAATTTATTTTACTACCCTTGGCAGGGTTCACAAGGAGAATCTGGTATGCCTGGACCTAAAGGGTCAAAGGTGAGTACGGCTCAGATGCTTACTTTGATTTGGTGAACAGCAGACATTCACAGCACCTTTCCTAGGTTTTGGTACCCCTGGTAACAATGTGGAAATGAGGTGGAATATTATCAAATGCTGACAATTTTAAAGACCAAACTCTATTCTATATATATATATATATAATGTGTGTGTACATATAGATAGATAGGTAGATATGTGATATTTTCTTGTGATTGCTGTGACTGTAAATATGGGTACGTTTGGTTGAGTAGCTATTTTATGACTTATGAAGAATGACTCCTTCTGTATGTCATGCTCTCTAGTTTTTCCCATTTTGAAGAGCATGTTGAAAAAACTGAACACGGATATGTTAGATAAATTATAAATATGCTAAAAGTTTGTTTTTTTTTTCCTTCTGTTTATTTTTGTGAGACAGTAATAATAAATATTTATTCTAAGAGCCTAGAACACATCTTTACCAGGAGTATTTCCCTATATATTTATGTATTTAATTTTGGCTGTAATGGCTCTCCGTAATGGAATGCGGAAATGACAGTTTTAGAGAGAAAAAAAAAAGTCAAACATAAATGTATGTATAAATGCAAAAATAATCACATTTTCACTTTTGTGCTGTTGCTTTTTTAAATCCACTCTTGTGATCATTTGTAAGCCTACATCATGATTCATGCCTTCTCATAAAAAGTCTTCTCATAAGGCTTTTTATTCATTTATTTTCCCTAACAAGACTTGTACAGATGTAAATTTTTTATTTGTTGTTTTATGTAAGGGGGATACTGGAGATAAAGGAGATTTGGGATCTATTGGCCCAAGAGTAAGCACTTATTTCAATTCTTTAAATTGTTCACTTAGTATTTCCGCATGCTTTTTACTCAAACTTTTGTGACGCTGCTCCCTAAGAACTGCTCACCACTAGGGGGCAGAAATGACCTCTTAGTCAGAGTAAGAGGCTGAAGTTAGGACGTGTCATTTCTATTGATATGTGGCTCTTGGTGTGTTGCAGGGTCCTCCTGGGCAGAAAGGAGACAGAGGAGCCACTGAAATCATCGACTACAATGGAAACATCGAAGAAGCTCTGCAGGTCAGACATGTTGTTGCCTAACTGGTACATTTTTATCCCTCTCATGTCTAGCAGAGCACAATGAAAGATCACTTTTTGTTTGCCTTGGCCTCTCACTGAAGTATAAGTAATGCTCCATCATGCCATGCTGACACCAATGCTTTCCTGTAAAGATATTCTCCAGTTTCTGTCACTTGGCCTTTGTTCATGTTGTCAGATAAATTGAAAACGTCTCTTAAGCGCAACTGAAGAAAAGTGTTGTCCCAACAGTTTCAAGTGACCTGTGTAATCTTATCTCTTACCTGCTTTCCGTTCCCACTCTTTCGGCCCCCCCTGCAGAGGATTACCACTATTACAGTCACGGTAAATAGGTTGTGTGTGTGTGTGTATTCTGTGTAGTGTGTCACCATCACGTTTGATCCATCTTTGTCCCAGCATGGAGCCGACGCCACACCAGCACTGGTTTGCACGGCCCTGTGTGTGTGTGCGTGTGTGTGCGCGTGTGTGTGTGTGTGTGTGTGTGTGTGTTCATACGTCCAGCAGCGTGTTTGCTTTACGGTGAATGAAGCGGTGTCCTGTGTCACTGTTGTGTTTCTGTCCGTACACTAAGTGTCTGAACAATTTCATTTTAAAGTAATCATTTGTTTTTCTTTTATCTAGTTGCAAGAAATTAGAATTAAAATACATTCAGGCAAATATATTTTAATACGTGAGCAAAGAAAAACATATTTTCTGTTTTCTGATTACTTGACAAATCTTGCCTGAACGTTCTTTCTTTTTCAGCAAATTGTTGCAATAAAGTTTCTTTTTAAACTTTTTTTGTTTTCATTTTCATTTTTAAACGCAATTTGAATGCTTAGAATGAAGGTAGGATCCAGAAATCAATATTTAGTAGAATAACCATGATTTTTCTCAGCTTTCATGCCTCAACATGCTCCTCGGCAGCAATTGTCGTCGGGTTTTGGTGATCAGTAAAGTGATGCGTAGAATCCAACTCTGGTATAAAATATCTGTCATGTAGAGATGCTGATTTTTGATTTCAGCGGTAAATTTATAACTCATTGCACAGTATTGCGAATCGGTGGGAGTTTTGTTTATTTTCCATATATTCGGAACTTAATCACAAGGATGCTTTTTCAGTTCTAATAAAAATGTCTTCCTTTGTTTTAAGTGGCGGAATATGGGCTATTCATAACATTACAAAGCAGCATCTACATTCTAACATCCAAATGTGATTTATTTTTTATTTTTTATTTTTTTTGTGGTTGCAATTCACTCCTTGTTCTGTTCTTTGCATGCGTCTCTCACTTCAGCATTCACGGTGTGAGACTGACTTCTCATGTGGTTCTACTGAAACCAAATCATCGTTCTCATGGTGTTTCTTCCTTTTAAAAACTGTTGTGATGGTGTAAATACATAGAGGTTCGTCTCAGAGCTGAACGGAGTCACCGTTGGTTTCTGTCACTGTTTTTATACAGGGTCCTCCTGGGCCACCCGGACCAATAGGACCACCAGGCTTTAAGGTGGCATTTTCACCCTCTTGTACCCTTATTATACAACATCTAAACCTTTAATTGTAGCGCGTGTCATTTTTGTAACAATGCTGTCTGTCGGTGTGGTTTTAGGGAGATCGCGGTCTCCCTGGTCTTCCTGGACTCGACGGGGAGAGAGTGAGTAGATCGCCTTACTCTGATGGAAGCTCCAAATATGGTTTTGCACACATTTTGCGCACGGTTTGTGAATTACAAACCAAGTGTTGCATTCTGTGCAAGAAGTCCGCTTTGTGTAAATAAATAAGACTGGTTGGATGTAAAGATTTCACGGGTTGAGTTAAGGACTCTGTTGCACAATTTGCTCTGAACTTGCCCTTGAGCGTGAATGGGTGCAGTTTGTAATACTTGTAAGTTAATTTGAAGTATCGTGAATTAAAACTGAATCCTCTGTGTGCGTGCGTGACCTCTCTCAGGGTTTTAAAGGTTCCAAGGGAGACATGGGAATGCCCGGAGCGTCGGGGGAGAAAGGAAGCACTGGTTTACCTGGCTTACCTGTAAGAATCACAGACGCTATTAGAGTAACAACGGTTTCTTAGAATGCGTCTTTATTCAACATGCTCGAACAATTCACCTCATAATGCTCGTTCATAACAGGGCGTTAACGGAGCAAAAGGAGACAAAGGAGATCCAGGACTTCCAGGTCCACAAGGTCCATCTGTGAGTAACGTATAGATAATGAAAACGCATTAAATAGAGTCTGAGCTTTTTATAGCCATACATGCAAGGAGCTATTGTTAATGGAGTGAAAATAAGGTTGTCATTTGAGGATTTAGTTTTGTATGTTATTTACATTTTCAGATAACTGGCCCTCCGGGGCCACCGGGACCCCACGGGCCCTCGGGACCCATGGTGAGTTTGGGGGTTTTGTAATGTTTTCTGTTTCCCCTGAACGTAACGTATGAGGCAAACCCTTGTTTGTTTCTGGTTTGTTTATTTCTTCAAGAGAAAAATCCTCTGATCCTCCTCAATCGACAAATGACTTCATTAGTCACGTTACCACCTTTTGACCTAACGTGTCCCTTTTGAATGTTTTTCAGGGACCCCATGGCTTCCCGGGGCCTAAGGTAAATGTTGTTTAAAATACATCAAGAGATACAGTGAAAATTGTTCATACCCCTGGCAAATTTCTACGTTGATATCAGTTTCTTTCAGCCAAAAGCCTGTGCTGAAGTGCAGCAGGCGTCTCTCTGCACTGTTTAATGTTCAGAGACTTGTGGAAAATAGTTTGTACCTCTCTCAATAATAAACCGTCCCTCTGCATTACATCTGTCAAACCCACAGCTACAACCATCAACTCTCGTCTGCTTCTCTGTGAAGTTCTCTTTGCTCAGCCTGTCGGGTTACGTGTCGCTCATCTTGTGTGTGAAGGTCTGCAGTTGCGTCACGCGTTTCCTTTCTCGCGTTTGGCTTTCTGAGTAATGAAGACCGAATTGCTTTAGATTTTTTATTTTCCAACATCCTCCCGTTTCACAACCGTGCACCGCTTTGTTTCAGTCTAAAATCGCGTCAAAATGAATTGCAATTTTAGACGTTTAGGCGACAAAAAGTCCAACGTTTTAAGCAGCACGAAGGTGTTCAGCATCAGCTTCCCGTAACCGTCTTCTCCGTCGACTCTCCGTAGGGAGAACCTGGTTTGCACGGACTGAAGGGCATGAGAGGGGAACCGGGACACAAAGGAGATCGTGGCCACATGGGTCTCCCTGTGAGTTGAGCAGTAGCACAAAACATCTTAAAAGATGTTAAGATTCACATCTATCTTAGAACATTCCTTTTTATTTGATCAAGGTACTAGTCGCACATACATGTTTGTTTTCGTGAGTTTGTGTGTACATGCGTGTGTCCAAAGTGCCTTGTCCACGTTCTGTCTTCATTTTCATTTGCCTGGACTTGACCACCTTAGCCAAAGCTCCCTGTGATTTAGTTTGTTGTGAACCCTGCCATCAACCTGTCCTAATAACAGTGTTCATCTGGTACTAATCCCGCCTTGTTCATGTCACTCATACCTCCATAACCTCACAGGGAGCCTCCGGCTTGGACGGCAAGCCCGGAATTAGGGTGAGTGTCATGTGATCAAGGGGCTTCACCACCCAACATCTTTCTCTCTCTCTCTCTTCCTCCCTCCATGAAGTTAATTTTTTCCCCTTCAGTTTTTTGTTTTTCTTGTCACCATATTATTTGCACATTGTTCCAAAATGCAAATAATGTAAGCTTTTTTTTTTTTTTTTTTAAAGTATACGTTTCATGTTATCAATCACAAAGGCACAGAAAGCTGCTACACAAAACATTTTGAGACTCCTGTTTTGTCCTGTGTCGCATTAACACACACTCATACATTAACTGTGTCAGCGGTGTCTCGTAAGCGTCCTTTGTGGCCAATGCACGTCTACGAGCTGTGTGTGCTGGTTGTAGCTCAGGTTCTATATGAATACCGTACAGCTACATCACTTTTTTTTTTCTTTTTTTAAATCAATGAACTTATGAAAATAGAGCGGGTATTAGTCTAAAAGTTGTTAACTCACCCTGGCAACAATACTCTCCGCAGGGCACAGACGGGCCTCCGGGTCCAGCTGGTCCGGCCGGGCCGAAGGGTGACATTGTAAGGCTGAAACTGCGTTCTTTTCATAGATCTGACAGACGATGCAGCTCATGTTGTTGACCCACAATTTTGAGAATTTTTTATAAGTGTAAAGGAAAGCATTGACGTGGGTTTATTTTGTCTCAGGGTGAGAAAGGCGCACCAGGTGAGCCGGGACCTCGAGGACCTTATGGACTACCTGTAAGTTTTACAACATTATCATCCGTTTCATAGATGTGAGGCAAGAAAGGGTCGTTAAAATCATAGGCACGTGTAATGAATTAACGGTGTGATTTCATTTTTAGTGAAATGGAAACACAAAAAATAGTGACACTACGTAAAGGGAAGAAACGAAGTTTGATTTGTTTTATTGCCAGCATTTGTATCGCATTGTAATATTATTAGTATTTGACGACATCAAAAACTGGGTTTTTATTTTTGCTTTAGGATGTCTCACTCAATTCTGTTAGAAAAGAAATATGTCGTTTTAGATTTTACCCCTTCATTTTAAGTAATTCAACTGTTTTGTTGTTTGTAGAGAGTTTATTTATGTAAATGCTTCTCGCTGTGGTTTTTACACCATATTACTAACATCGAGAGAGTGCGCTGTGTTGTAGTGAAGATGTCCAAATTTGCAAAAGTCAAGTCTTTGGCGGTAATTTTTTTTCCTCTCTCCCTCTCCAGGGAGCCGCCGGAACGCCTGGTTTGGATGTGAGTTGGTTTGACTTTTTTGTCTTACGAGTTAATTTATGAGTAGAAACAGCTAAACTTTACAGGGAAAATGTAAAAGTAGAAATCACAGTTTTTTGTTTTGTTTTTTTGTTTACAGAAGTAAAATAATGAAACTGAAATGCAAATCTCTTGTTAACATTTCTGTCTATGTTCAAATTAATCTTAGCAGTGGACCACAGCTGGCTACTACAGGAAGTTAGAGAAGTAATGTTTCAAAACAAAACTTTCGATAAAAAAAAGGAAGGTCTATGGGATTATGTTATTTATTTATTTTTTTTACTGTTTTTATAAATCATTGCTTTTTTTTTTTTAACATGCCACCTCAAGCTCCTAGCTGCCATTTTTCCCCATAATGTTCCTAGTGATAGGAAGGATGCTAATTGCATGCTTTCTCCTGGTTTTTGTACCGAGAAGCTTTTCATGTTAAAACTTAATTTATGCTTGACATATTTACATTCTGCTCAGAAATGAGAGGCACTGAATCAGGCCAGTACAGCTTTTGCAGCATTTATGCTCTGTGTCGCTCGGTATCCTCCTGCACTCTAGGTGGCAGTATAGGTCATGTACAGCAAGTGTCCAACGCTACACAACATGTTAGAAGTGGAAAAACACAATTGTTATTAGCCACATGGTTACACCATGAGCTTAAACAAAGAGGACAAACTTTTATGTTTACTTTTGCTTGGGAGGAAAAGAAAGAGGAGATGCTAAACTTGTCCATGATCTTTTTGGGATCTCTGTATTAGCGAACCTCTGCCAGGAGGAGGAGCTCTTACTTGTCTGCCATGTTTTTCCGCAGGGGATTCTCGCATAGAAAAAAATTTCAAGGTGCACTGTGCAAAAAATATGGGTTGTGTAGAGGGAGGCGGTAATTTGGTCGTGAGGAATATGTAAAAGCGTCAAGCATAAGCCCAGCCTAAGCTGTGAAACAACATGCGGATAGGATCTCCAAGATTCAAAGTCCTCCAGGATATCACTTTCAAATCCACAAAGTTTGGTGGACATTTAAGACATTATCAGTTTTTGTTCGCAACTGATAATGATAAATTATTGGATAAAGGAAGCAAATGTAGCTTTACTTAACTAAAATTATTTCAGTCCATTTTTTTTCAGATGTTGATGTAAAATATTCTACAAAGTTTATTCTTATGCAACTTAAAAAATAGCATTTTAAGTCAAAACCCTCCCTTGCTATTTTTCGTTCGCAGTTTTTTCTGAGATATTTAAATTAACATTACGGATAAAAAAAAACAACCTTCTGATTCTGTTTGATCCTGATCTGGTGAGGTTTGTGTGGATGAGAAAAATCTGATCTCTCGTCTGAAACACAGTAATTAAGCAAAGTTGTACATTTTCAGGGGTTACCTGGATTAAAAGGAGATAAAGGCGACGATGGGGGGAGAGGAGAAAAGGTAGATGTAGATATGGTTTTGAAGCTTATTAATATCTCTAACGTCAGAGGACTGATGTCAATGGACAGTGAAGAAACTTTTGATTTCATTTGCATTTTAAGTGTTTTTTTTCATCCCCCAGTTTGAGGTAAACTTTTTCCCTCTAAAGTAAACTGCAATCGAAAAGGAATTGTCCTAATTTACGTCAATTGCTTTTATAATCCTAATGACCTTTCTTTACTTTTGCAGAAACATGATCTATCACCCCCCCACCCCCTCCCACTCCTCTCGAGTCAGATTTTTGTTGTCTCCTCCCATCAACAGTTCCACCATCTCATTGTTTCAGATCTAACTTGATTTTCAGGCATCAAAAAGAGAGATCAACATATAAATCCAAACATGTCCATTGACAACAGGCTCTTCAGTATCATACATGTGTTTTTTTCCCATGTTTCCATGCATGAACATAAAGTAACATATTTCACTTCCCTCATTTCTTGAGCCTGTTGGTAGCCCTTCCTTTCCTTGTTTTTGCTCACATTGTTTGTCTCTGTGATATGTATATATATTGTATTCTTTAGACACTGTATACCATTAAGAAGCTATATCCTGTTTCTTTTTGATGCATTAAGTTGAGTTTTGCTCCCCGCTCTAACACAGAAGAAGCTCTTAACATTTCATCTCTTTCAGGTCCTTAAGATCAGTAATAAGATGTTGACATACACTCATCATAGACATTAAGGATGTAAGAATAAACTGATTTGTACAGGTCTCTGTAATCATTTGTGCATTGATTCAGTCAGTGCCCTGCTTTTTTAAAGGGGCAGGATTATTACAAAAAAAAAAAAAAAAAGACTTTTTTGAGCTTTACAATATGTCGTGATGTAACATGTTTGGAGTATATGCTGGTGAAAATATTAAGAGATTAATAGAGGAGCGGACTGTTGGAAAAAGTAGTTCCTTAAAGAGACAGAAGCCCAATTTGAAGGCGATAAATTACAATGTGAAATTTTTCTTAAGTCATAATTGATATATGGCATTTTTATAACAACCGAAGGTAACATAGTAAATTGATTGTGCTGTAAAGTGATACTATGTGACTGGAAAACATGTAAAAAGGAGTTTGCAGTGGAGCTCATCAGATACATAAGATTCTTAAAACTGATGACCGGCATCTCATTCTTTTGATTGTTCGTAACCTAGAAAGTGCAAGTTGCTTCACTGAGCAGTGCTGCTAAGGTGCCTTCTTACATTGACTGTGTCCAGTCAATGTAACACTTGGAACACACAGTTCCTCTCCTTAATCTGTGGTCAGCTGGATCCAACACTGTAGAGGAAACATTCTCTGAAAGGCAGAGAGGTGCGATCTTTCCATAGTTGGACCACATTCTCTTGACACCTTTGTTAAGAATTTGGGCCACCATCCCACTTCGCCACTTGGCAGATGTTGTATTAGTCCTCCTTGCAAAATTGAAGCCACAACAGCCCTACAATGTCCTGACACTTTGGAGTTTGGGAACAACTTTTGTACACTTCTGGCACCCTGATGCCAGTGAGCTGGCATCAATGACTACATCTTCACTGATTCCTCGTACGCTGCCTCGCCCGTTGCTACGGTCCCTCCTCAAAACACAAGCTTCTCTGACCCATTAAATAATTAAATGTTTTTCTTGAAGCCAAGAAAAGTTTAGTTTTCTCAGCCGTTTTACAAATTTCTCACACACCAAAGGTTTTTCCACTTAGAACTCAGAAGATAATGTTCTTCAGGACACCCAGTACCTGTTGGCCAGTTTCAGCAGTCCCCACACTCAGCCAAGCCCCAAAGGCCTTCTCACTGAACCTAATAGCTTCCATTGCTGCTGTTGTCTACCGTGTTAAAACTACATTATGCTCCAATGTCTCTTAGGCTGTAACTCCTGAACATTGTCCAGTCCAATTCCATGTTCCCTGGTCTGGCTTACAGCTTTCCCTGCTACGAGATCCAACTCTCCACCAAGTGGTGGTGTGATGATAGCTCTGACCTTTTGCGCTCCTAAGTTCCCAAGACACACAGCTGCAGGTCTGATGATATGAGGCCACCTTTGACCCAAGGTAGCCTGGTGGCTATTACTTTTTGCTTGATACAGGCAACTCATTGCACGCAAACACACCTCGTATTTAGATTACAACCAAGCAAGTGACTCCACCGTTGTCCACATTGGCACTGAAGCTCACAAGAAGATGCATGAAGATCCTCTGAGATGAAGATCCTCCTAGGAAACCATGCAGACACTCCAAGAAGGTCGGTTAATCAGAGCTATTGTTGGACATATAGGAACCGTCAAAATCTTCATTCTTTCTACTCAAAACCACAAAGAGGGACCCTTTCCCTCACAAGGTGCTCAGCTCAGGGCTTCAGTTTCTCAAAATTTATGATGTTCTTTCGTTGTGACTCAGATGAAACCCGTTTTGACCAATTTAAATACGTGTCAATGATGAGTGTGTGTCAATTCACTCCTAAAATGATGGTTTTAAAGTAGTGCTTTGACATTTTACTCATGCTAACATGATATGACTCTTTAAAATGTTTGCATGGATGTTGAGTTTTAAAGTTTATTTATGACTTTATGGAAATCTTGTGACATTTAATTCTGTATTGATGCAGTTTGTACTTTCCTGCTTTCTCTGGTGGTTTTCTCCCTGCTAGTCTTTCTCATCCTTTGTGCCCTTGACACCACTTTGGCAAAGTGTTTCCCACTCGACCTTGTTCCCTGCTTTTTGTGCCCCTCGTTTAAAGAATATTCAATTCTGCCTTGTATTCCTATCTAACTTATCTGACCATGTGCCTTCACTCCTTCTTGGGTTATAGACTTCCCTTCTTTAATCTCTCCTCATAGCAGTAGTAATTGTTGACAAAAATGAATTTAACCTGACCGAACCCTTGTATCCGCAGGGGGAGAAGGGAAAGAAGGGCAAAAAAGGGCCTAAGGGCGAGAAAGGAGAACAGGGTGCCCCAGGATTAGATGCACCCTGCCCATTGGTATGTCCCAACTGTGAGCTGGAGTTTGCCTGCCAGCTTCGTGGAGCGGTTGCTCTGAACAAGGAGGAAGCTCCCTCTGGGTCCACTGACTCCCATCGTCAAGCTTTAACAGTCAAGAAATCCCCAACAACATTTGGAAATGTGCTCATTTTCAGTTGGACATAAAAGCTTGCAGTAAAATCCCAAAAAGCTTGCGACTGGGCCTGATTGTGGAGTCAGAAACCTCAGAGGGCAGCTCCTCCTCCACACTCCCCACAAGTCTGTCGAAACGGACCGATGCAGGGGGTGAAGGGTCGTCCACCTCTCTCCCAGTAACACTCTTAGGTCATCTTTGCAAACAGGGTTTCCGGGGATTTAAGGGTGAAAAGGGGGAACCAGGGCAGCCAGGTCTGGACGGGCTGGATGCCCCGTGCCAATTGGTACAGTATTTCTCTTTTTCCTAAACCTCCTACCTGTGCATGCCACTCACTTTTAGCCCATTAATGACAAATAAACACACTCATACATGACGTGAGAGCTTGACGAGCATGGTCACCTTACTTAATCGCAGCTTCATTTTCCATTTTTTAGTGACAAACACTAACCCTAACATCTTCACTGCAAGCAGCCTCTTCTAGATAAAACGTGAAATATACAGAATTAATAAATGTTTCATTTGGTCTATCCCTTTAACTGATTCCTGTCTTCCCTTTGAATAAAACTGGAGTAAAAGGCAAAAACTCACATGTCCCCCCCCTCCCTGCTGAGCCCGCCTTGGACCAGTTACCTTTTAACCTGATGCTAACACAGATCCCCTTATACTGATGAGTTAGCCATGCTACAGGCGCATGGATCCCTCTCTCAATCCGTTAACTCTCCTATCCCCTCCTGTTCTTGTACCAATTGGGCCAGACCATTACAAGAAAACAAAATAAAACATCAAGTTGGTTGCCACTGTGGACCTGGAATATTTTCATGATTACTTGTTTTATTTTATTGATGCTCATGCCGCAGAAGCGATGCTGTCTGAGGCGTGAAGATTCTGGTACAATGGGTTGAACTAAATTTGGGGAAATGCATATGTTGTGCTTTGCCTTTAACATTTTGCCACTTGTATTTTGTCACTTTAGAACAACAAACCACAGTGTATTTTATTAGGATTTTATAGAATATGTCCAACACAGTTATGAGGAAAGCAACTGATGCATGGTTTTCAAACTTTAACCAAATAAAAATCTGAAAAGGTTTAGGCTAATGTATATAGCCCCATTTAATTGGATACTCTAAAATTAAGTTCAGCGTGTAAGCAATACCTTTTGAAGTCACCTGTACATAATTTAGTGTAAATATCTCTCAAGTCTTAACATCTCAAAGAACAATGTTAGAAAATCACCTGAACTGGCAGAGTATCGTACAATTAAACATGCTGTCGATGAAAAGTGTCATTCAGAGCATCAGAGAACCAAACTTCACATGGGAGATACAATTGTTGTAAGAAAGCCATAATAATGATTAAAGATCGTTATAAGCCATGTTGATGGGGGGACAGTAATCATTTGCTTCCTGGCCAACATGCAAATATGTGTGGAGGACAAGCAACACGATTTATTACCCTGAAGGTGCCATCGCCACCGTGAAACACGGCGATGGCACCATGTTGCTGTGGGAATACAAAAATTCATGTTTAACTTTTAGATTTTTATTTGCTTGAAAAAAACGTGAGAAGCTCTATTTCCCCCCACTTAGGCACCACTTTATGTCGGTCCATTTTTATAAAATCCCAATAAGATACACTAAGATTTGCAGCTGCATTGAGACAAACTGTGGAAAGGGGCATGAATACTTTAGCAAGGTGTTGCATTGTACGTTCACACACATTCAGTGAGCCATAGTAGATACGAAAACATTCAAAGGTTATATTTATACTTGGGTTATTTTTATTTCAAGACAACTTGAGTTTTGTATTTCCAGTTGCTGGGCTTTTTTTTTTTTTTTTGAGCTTCCTGCTGTTATTAAACTCAACTATGAAAAAAAAAAAAAAAAAAAAAAATCCAACAGCAGAATCACCATGGTGTGCATGAGCAACATATTTCTATGTATTTTGTGCATGTACAGTTTCATTTTTTATTTATTTTGGCTAGAATGAAATGTAATGTGTGCATTCAGACTAACAGACAGAAACCAACTGAATAATTGAGAATAATTTGAACATTTTATTTAATGTTTGAAACGCCCTTTTTATTACTTGTTTTTATAGAAACTTTTGAGTTAAAGTAAACCGATTTTGCCCCTCTACTTTTACTTTCATGTGGCTTTTACATCTTCAGATTTAATTATGCCCACAATGAATGAAAAACACAACAGCTGGTGTCATTTCTTTAGACTTCACTTCCAAACACCCCGACTTCCCTGAAGTGTTTTTCTAAGTGTTTTCAAGCTCTCTGAAAGTTTCCTTGCATTTTCCTTTTGACTTTGGCTGCTTTATCACTTGGAACGTCACCATTTTGAAAGATAATGAAATGAAGAGGGAAATTTTGCATTATCAGATGAACCACTTTATTCATCATTTTATGATTTTATCATTTTGACGTCTCGTAATCATCAATGTTATAATAAAATATCCAATAGTCAGCATGTACATCCAAAGAGTGAAGGACAGAAGAAATACAAAATACTCAAAATTTTAAGTTGTTTGTAGAATCGGCCAATAAAAATTGTGACAGAGAGCACTGTAAGATAGAATGGAATAAAATGCCAAATTAATGCTTTTATTGTCCTCAAGTAAACAATCTTAAAGTACTTTACCGATACAAGTAGTGGGGAAAAAAGCAGCCAAAGTCCAAAGAGTAAGTGTTCAGTGTAAAGAGCCACTAAATTAAAGTGACTCTCCAGAAAGTCTCAAAGAATAGAAGTTAGGGGTAGTTTGAAGCTTTTATTTCTTTCTCAAAACCAGGCGAGAGTTTTAATAATACACTTTTGTGCATTAAAAATTAAATTAAAAAGTTTAAATCCTAAACAATACGACCGGGATCAAGATGTTGCTTTCATCTGATTAAAGCTGCATGGTCTCCTCAAGAGAAGTTAACTTTATTGGTTTGTGGTTAATGAGTAGATTTTCTTGAGGATCAATCTAACTTCTGACATGTGACGTATTATATAAAGTATAAGCCTACTAATCACAATCTTACACAGGCAGCAGTGAGGCATTGTTTCAGCTCTAACTGTTTCTCTTCTGTTAACAGGGTCCGGATGGGTTACCAATGCCTGGATGCTGGCAGAAGGTGAGATGATCTTCTGGCAATCAGCAACATTACAGTTTGCACTGAAAATTGAGAGTATATTTAGTAGCAAAACAGAATTTAGCATTAAAATACTTTAATTGCCATTGAAATTCAACTTTTTTTTGTGCGTTAAGGCTTGAAGCATGCAGATTTTTAATGAATTTCCTTTTCCAAAGTTTAGAAATATGTAGCAAAAAGTGTATAAAAAGATTCCTAGAAGAAGATGGCAAAGCTAATTGGCAACATTTGTTGAAAAGTGGTGAAGTTGTGTATGGGACACCAAGTTTGGGTGTCGATACATAACAGACTTGCCACCCAAGAAGAGAATTTGTCATAACAAAGTGACGATTCATGTGGCAATTTGTCAAGAGAGGAGGAGCAGTAAATCAAGATAAATGTTTTACTAATTTAGACAGTCACCCGTCTCACAGATTTTCTAGCAAAAACTTAAAATTCGTAAAACTTGTCATTTTTGCTCCGATTCTGACCAGCATTTTTATTCCAATTGCAATTGTATAAGATATAATGATTTCTTTCATTTTGTTGACACTCACGCGTGTTTCAGCTTCTTTACGTTTGCATGCGTTCTCTGACAAACCGGAAGAAACGATGTGTGAATGCTGTGCAAAACATCTCATGGTGTCAAACTGAAAGACCCACTCAAAGTGACGAAACAACTTGTTTTTTGTATGCTTCCTTTGCAGTGATCACTCTAACCCGAAACGCATGGAGTTTGTAAATAATGCTTCTTTTATGGTATTTATAGTTTTTTAATGGAAAAAAAAAAGAGTCAAAAAGAAACAAGTCTATGTGTGCAACAATGCAAAAGGAAAAAAAAAAGAAAAGATAACCGTCCGTAAGCTGCTTCTACTCACATCGCTGTGTGGAAACAAAAACACGTGTGTGCGTCCCGCTGTCTCACATCTGCTTCGTGATGGAGTTCAGATCCTCGGCTGCCGGCAGAACTCGCGTCTTTAGGTTTTTTGCATGGCTCGGACTGGAGCGTGGCACTCCCGCCAGATCCTGAGGGTTGGAAGGAGTGAGACGAGAAGAAGTGTGGAGTTGGGAAGTGGAGGAAATGGGATCTGGATTGGCTTCTTAACACAAAACGCTAAGTGTCGTGTGCTGTTTTGTCTCCATGAGCTCACCAACTATTCATGCGGCACCATTCGCTCAAAGACTAAACAGGAAAAAAAAAAAACGTACGAAAAGGGAAAAAAAAGACTGCACTGAGCTGACTGAACATTGCTTCCCCCCCCCCCAGCCCACCATCCCTTGAAAAAGCATGAGTAGTGTACTATATTTAAATGTAATGTACATACATGTCACTGTTATGTGATTCTTTTGTAATTTGTGTGGGGAAAAAAAAAAAAAAATCTGAAAAATCAGAAGGCCCAAAGCTCTGAAATGGTAACTTTTTCTTTCCTTTTAATCTTCTTAAGGGAGTCACACCATGGCTTGTAGCCTGAGTACCCTCCTTCCCCTTCTGAGAGTAAAGGTGTCAGTACATTTTTTATTTTTTATTTTTGCTTTATTTGTGGCGAGGCCTGCCAAGCGAACAGTCTCGTCGGGCTTTTGCTGTTGCACTCATGGGGCTCGACGTCGTCGGTGCGGCGCTTCCTCAGGGTCGCGTATCTCCTGGACAAGAGTCTCGGCGAGAGTCTCTGCACTGGCAGGAAAACCAATCAGCCTCGCGCAGTTTGGATTGGAGCCTGGTCAGGCGTGCTTGGTGAGCACGGGAATGGAAATGGATTCTGCAGGAGAGAGAGCCGCTCGTCGTCCTCCCTGCGAGACGAAACGGGAGACGCTTCGAGATCTTCTGAGAACGTTGATAGAATGCAGTTGTGATGTTTTTCTTTACTCATTTTCTTTTATTATTTTACTCTTTTTTTTTACACATTTGTATTTTCTGTAATATAGCCTTTGGTGCCTCAAGCTTTTATTCATTCCTTTATCGAAAGAGTTTATACTTTATTTTTAGCCATTTGAGTGGTGTTTATTTCAAAATGAAGGAGACATTATGTTTGGGGAGGACTGAAAAGACGTTGCGCACTGTTTTTGTTTTTTGTTTCGATTTGTTTCGTCTTCACCGAGAATAACTCCATCTGATTATTCAGTAAGTTGGCATTGATTTCAACCGTATATCTGCTAAAGCTGCTTAGTGTTTGCATAAGACATTGCGGCAGTGGATGGAAGTAGCTGAAAGTCTCACTTTTCTACCTGGTTTACTCGTGAGGCTGAACTGCGCCACAGCAATGCAGCTGCCAAAACGTTATTCCATGGACGTCTCCTCTCACACAACTCAAATTCTTCAAGTTTATAAGTTACTCCTGGTATTGAAAACTTGCTTGCAAATATGCTGAAGTTGCAGGAGATCTCGTGTACAGTGTGGTCAAGTTTTCTGCATGAACACCGTTTAGAAAATGTAGATTTAAAAAGATCATTTTTTGATGGAGTGTATCCAAAGGCTATTTAAGTTGATTTAAGGTCTAAAGTAGAAAAGGTTATCGTCAACATAATAGTCTATAGCAAGCTTCTTTACACCTATACATCTTCTATATTGTCTTACATACTGTATATGGTGACAATATATATATTGAAGTACAGGACATTAATCACCTTCCACCAACACCAGTCTGGCCAGTTGTATCACATTCCTCATCACATGGAACAAACATTATCAGAATTTAGGATTGATATTTATTTGATAACACAAGTCCATTTACCTTTTCATATTTCCAGCATTAAAATTAGTTATTTTGACAACGTAGGTGCTATGCAAGGTAATAGTTTTTTTTTTTGTTCAAAAACGTTAAAAGCCCTTTTCGTATTATTACATTTTGAGTTGTAACAATTAAAATCTTTAATAAATTTCATTGGGGTTTGTTGTAATTGATCAGAGCAAAGTAGTGCATAAATGTGAAGTGGAAGGTAAAATGGTTTTCCTTGGGTTTTTTTTTTTTTTTTGGAGGTAAAAGCCTGAAAAGTGTGGATTGCACATGTATTTGGGACCCTAATTGAATTTTTTTTGTTGAGCAATCCTTCTTCAAACATAATGACATCTAGAATAGAGCTGCACAATATAAAAAAAAAAAAGCCTGATTGTTATTTTCAGAATAGCATAGAGATTAAATTAACAGAGCAAAACCAGCTAAATACATGTGCACGTCGCACGGCACACTTTCAAAGTACTGATTTGGAAAAAGCAAACGTAGAATACCATGTGTCACGTAGCCACTTAAACGTTATGCACTGCCTTTGTGTTGATTTATTAGAAAATATGTTTAATCCCAAAACTATTGAAGTTTGACAAGATGTGAAAGAGTTCCAGGGGTGTACAAACATTTGCAAGGCACTGTACAGTCAGATCTTAATCATTTACTGTAGGAGCAGATGTGATAATGGCAGGTCGATCTGTGAGGATGTTTCTGTTTAACTGTTCATCTCATCATGATGAAGAGTGGATGCACATCTGTACAAACCAGTTATTTTTTAACCATACCAGCAGCTACAGCTAAAAAAAAAAATAAACTGATTTCTTTACAGCTGTTGGGGGTTTATGTATGTCTAAAATAGGAGTTTTTTTTTTAACATTTATTTGTGTATTTGTTTCAGTATTCTAAGTGGTGCATTATTTATTTTTCTACAGTTTTCTTTTTGTAAATGAAGGCATTTTGTCGGGTTCTGAGCAGCATTCCTTTTTAGTTTCTGATGCCAGTTTTTTGTGTTGATATGACGGAACTTTAAGCTCATAACGAGGCATCGTAAAACAAACCTGCAAATGTAACATTGGTAGAAATTGAGAGGGCATTTGCATGTTATTGTAATGTGTACTTAATGTGCAGTTACTTCAATTTATAGGCCTTACATCACGCGAGTACATCTGCTTCGTCTAACTTTGTGTGCGTCAACTCTGACGACACGCCGATTATAAATTCATGACGGCCTTGTCTCACGCTTTTTTTTCTTCTTCTTTTTTTTTCTCTCTCTTTGTCTCTTTACATTGAATGTAGTTTGATATATATGTATAGTGGAATATTAATGTACTGTTGAGATGTGCTCATTTGATATAAAGTGCAATTTATACTTTGGTTCATGCGTGTAGCATCAAATGCTGCTTAACTATCACACTACAGTGGTTTTCTTTAGCTTCGTTTGTTCAGCCGTGCGACCCTGTATACCACTACCTGGAGACATGGAGGAATATGTACACACAGACTTTTAATTAAATCTTAATTTACAGGATTTTTGTTTCAATCTCTTCTTTCAATCGATATTTGTGTCGATATTTAATAGTTTGTTTTGGTTATTTTATTATTTTTTTTAATTTTGTTTTGATTACCAGCCTTTATTACAGCCTTTGTTCCCATGAGGTGCTGTAACTTTTAGAATGTGCAGCTATTTTTTATTTTATTTTATTTTATTAAACATTGTTTGTTTGAGTTTGGTGTTAAAGTTTCACATTTAGTTTACTAAACTAGACATAAGTGCCAAAATATATTAACTATTGATTTCCTATTGAGCTGCACCATTGGTCCTGATAGGATTCTTTGAATCTGTAAAAGCCTCTTGCTTAAGGTTCCTCTGAGGCAGACTTTTTCAACTCTGGTCCTCAGGTACACTATTCTGCATGTTTTAGATATTTCCTTGCTTTGATAAATATAACAGACAATTGTAGTTCTTTAACCCCTTCATGTATGAATTATGATCCTTTGTGTCAGGATTTCTTTTCCCTTTTTTTATTTTCTTAAGGCATAAAAAAAGGTAGGTAAAAAATGTTGTAAAAAGAAAATTATTTTAGTTTTTTTTAGGTGATCAATTGTAATTTTCTCCAAATACAAAGTTATTATTTGAAAAATACATGATTAATGTTGTTCTTTAGGGGTTATCTGATGTCGCAATATATTTTTTTTTTACCTGCAAGAGTCGTCTAAGGAGGGACCGGGTCGGTCGGCATGCTTTTTTGTCTTTCGGCCATATTGGATTTAACAAAAATAATTTCTTGCATTTGCAGCTGATGGCCAGTAGTTGATAGTGTATTTTATGATGCATTAATGTCCATTTCAGTGGTCTGTGTCCATTTATAACATAAAAATCCACAAGAAGCACAAGAAAATGGCTTTTAGATAGCTGTCCACTGTAGTGACCACTATGCATGAAAGGGTTAAAAAAAAAAAAGCAGGGAAACGTCTGAAACATGCAGGGTAGTGTACTTTGGTAGCCAGTGTTGGGGAAGCACTGTACTAAATGTTAGGACAGTGTTTCTAACTCTGAACGGCATGTGAACTGATCAAAAATGTGTCCTTTTGATACTTTTTTGTTGGTTTATTACCAAAAAACTTTTTTTTTTCCCCTTTTCTTTTCTAGTTTGGAGCAGATTTATTTGCAAAGTTTTCCAAGGTGTCTTTTTTTCTTAGTTTGGCCCCTAAAACCAGTCAAAAAAGATAAATAAGTGATGTTGGGTATATTTACCACATTTAGACTTTGTTAAATTTACTTTATCTTGGTTGTTGAGGAAAACTTTCAGCTGGATGGTTGTCATTCACACTACAGCGCCTCCTGTGGCAAAAAGAATTATAACATGCAGAAAAGTTGATGTGAATAAAATCCTACATTCACTAAAAATACTTTTTTTTCTAAAACAAAATTAAAATAAATAATGTATAAAGTTTTAAACACAATAAGAAAATCAGACATGATCACATTTGATATTCCTTAAATCTGTTTGCATGAGGCTTTTAAAGGCAACTAAAAGATGAACTAAAAATAGTTAAAATATTTTATGTCTGCCAATATGTCTTTGGTATATTGAGAAAAAAAAACTGGTTTGACTTGGAGAGCGATCTTTCAGGGCTGCTATAGAGGAAGCCCTATTTTCCACTGATCCAAACTTCCAAAGTGCAAAAGCAGACACAAGACAAAAGAGTTGCATCCACAGTTTTGTTGCTGCTGCATTAATGTTTAAGCACAGGACTTTTCTTGGATTAACAAAAATTCTTAAGCCAAATTGAAAGAGCAAACTTGTCATGTACCTTAATTCTAGTTCAAGTTAGGCGAAACAAAAAGTTTGAGTTATTGGACAAACTCTGGTGTTTTCCCTTTCAGCCTTTTTTCTTTTATTGATGCAATACCCATTTTATCTACATTTCTTGATTTCACATTCTGTATTTCAAGCTGATATTTCATATGACTGTGCTGTTGGAGGAAAATAAACCGTCTTTTAAGTATTCCAAAAAGAATGTTTGCCTTTATTTCCAGTTTTAGTTTGATGTATGTAATATTCCTCTATGTTTAAATTTCTTGAAATTATTTAATAAAAACATAACTGTTCACATATAGTTGGAGAGTTATTTGTAAAAATGTTTTGGCACTACTGGTCTTTATTCAACAGTAGCTGGAGAGAGGAGAGAAGGATAACCGCGCTGAGCCAGCATGTGGCGCCCCATATTTGAAAGTTTATGTTTATAATAATATAAAAGAATTGAAATCTTCTTGTGTTGTTATAGTGCCATCAATAATCTGAGATAAATGTGGGCTAGTGCGAGAAATAGCTATTTATTTTTTAATCTTTTGAATCGCTTAGAATGTAAAACAAAAAAAAATTCACAGAAACTGGGGAACTACTGAACAACGTCACATTTTCTGATGGGATTAACTGAATTTAAAAATAAACATTTTTAGATAAGCTTAACTACAATTACATGTTTATATTAGACTAAAAAAGGAAAATACATTTTGATTAAAAAAAGGTGATTTAATGTTTATTGTTCCTTACAATTGTATTTTCAATTTATTAGCCATTTTTCCTGTGTATTTTGTTGTATCCTAATGCTCACATTGTCAGGAGCCAGTGTGTGTTGGCTAAAAGAAGCACAAAAGTCCCTCTTTCTATCCATTTATTCATTCTGTCTTTATGATCCACTTTTATTTATTAAATCACTATTACCTTCCAGATATTTTAGTTAAGGTTATATAACTTGTAAGTATAATGCATTTTTAGGATATGTTAAAGCTGTCAGAAATCGCCTACAAATCTGCAGACATTTGAGATCACATCTAAAACCACTTATAACAACTGTTTAAACAGTTAAAATACATTCATAAGCATCAATATTTACATGGAAACTATCTCGGCACTACTGCAGAGGGTCACTTTTTACACTCTTCCTTATTTCCAGTCAGCACTATAGGGAAAATGAATGGTATTTTCAGATAGTGTGTCGAGTAGCATTGCAACAAGACATTTAAGTTTCCAGAGCTGTCTTTTCTTTTTAATATTCTAGATATGCTTTACAAAAGAATATGCCATTTTTTCCTGAATAATTTTAAGTCATTCTATTCTAATCTGTGGATAGGTTAATGAAAGAACTCTGACCCATAACTAGGCGTTCACTACATATCACTAGAGAAATAGATTGTACACCATTTGTAAACAAAATGTGAAGAGGTAATTTAATTTTCCCCATTTTTTATTTTATTTTTTTAAATTATTTTTAATGTTCCCTCTATTTTTGTCTACGTGGCCTCTCTGGCTTTCCATACCTGTGTCAGACTTTGAGAGAAGCGCGAGCAGCGGTTCTCGTGCCCTCCCCGTGCGCGCGCGCGCGCGTTGAAAACTCCTTACAGGTGTATGTTGGCTGGAACAGATGGTGCTCGACCAGTTTTTCTGTTGCATGACAGAAAGATGTCGCTTGACGGACTGGAGAAAAAGAAAACGATAGACTTGAGACAGAAGCACATTGGGTAAGACATACTATTCTGATAAGACTGCAGATGTTAGAGAACTTACAGAAACGACAGTCTGATTATGTAGCGCATTAAAGAAAAGAACATGTTTGTCTATCGCCTTATTATCATTATTACATCTGCCGAGAATTAATACAACCATTCTAAAGTTATTTGCTTATCAACTTAATTTTAAATTATTCGCGTAGAGCATTACTACTGAGTGGTTACCTTTTTGCTAGCATATGTTTTATTAAAGTGCTGAATCAGAGGGGATTCGCCTGTATTGTTGCAACAATTGTTTGTTCCTCTGCAGACCATCGTGTAAGATCTTCTTCAGCCATGACCCCATCAAGATTGTAAAAGCCAAAGGTCAGTATATGTATGACGAAAAAGGACAGCGCTACTTAGACTGCATCAACAATGTGGCTCACGGTAAGCATAAAAATATAAAACACACTTTTAAATGTCCAAAAAAAAAAAAAAAGTCTAGTTCTTGAGATTCTGAAATGATCTTTAGGCAATTGTACCACAACAGGAAATTACTACAATATGTAATACAACAACAACAAAAACTATTACTAAATTCTATTCGCCCCCCCCCCGCCTCCCCCCCCATAATTATCTGGTTTAGTTTTCATGGTTGTCTGTCTAAGTTTGGTTTAGACCTCCTGTTTTTCTCCAGTGGGCCACTGTCACCCAGACGTGGTGAAGGCAGGAGCTGAGCAGATGGGATTACTGAACACCAACACCCGGTTCTTGCATGACAACCTGGTACTGTATGCCCAGAGGCTGCAAGCAACCCTGCCAGACAAGTTGTCTGTGTGCTACTTTGTCAACTCAGGGTAAATTATATCCAGACATATTTTTTCCACACCTGAAACAAAGACCTTAAAAAGGTGTTACAGTCAGACCTGTTTTTTCACTTGGCTGTATGCGTGGTTCAGAAGGAATCCTCACTTAAAGTTATGAAAACTTTGGTATTATGCTTATGTATAAAAAAAAATACATTTTCTCCTCTTTGCATAAGTTACATACATTTGAAAACCTTTAGTCAATAAACATTTTATGGTGCAAAGGTCTTTTGGTTTGACAGTATTGCAGACGTGAACAAAGCAGACTCAGCATTAGTCGCTTCCTAAAGGTCTGATTTATCAAATTGATCGAGGTCACCATGGTTACTTATTTACACCACTTTTCTACAGTACTGCAGCATTAACCATCTGAATTATCTAGACGGAGGTAATTATGTTTTTTGATAACGATCCATAAACTCTCAATACTACACTACAGACATATCAGCAATGTTAAGCTATAAACTTGACATGAAAATTCCTCCTAAAGGTCTTTAGAGGCAAAAAAAACAAAAAACAACTGAGCTTATATGAACTGACAGACTTTGTTCTAACAGCTGGCAGTAGATGCAAACGTATTGATCTACCAAAGAACTTAAGAAAAAAAAAATAATCATTTTTTTCGTGCTGCAACCATAAATTACAATTATAATTTCCCCGAGAGAA